TATATATATATATATATATATATATATATATATATATATATATATATATATATATATGTTGCGGTAATGTCCTTTTTATATAAACGGTTATAAAAGAATTAATAAAATTATTAAAATATTAAAATATATAAAAAGAGCGGAACGCGAAGAGACAGGCACTCTGTACATGATCCAAAATGATGTCGTGAAACATGTCCCGACACGTAGTGTCTTCATAGGGAAGAGGACATGATAATTGTAGGTCATAAATTATAGTAGCCTGTCACCGGCGCTCGATTCTATAACGCTGTTTGTTTATTGTATGGCTCTTTCTTGAAAAATTATTAGACGCACACGTAAAAACAAATATCCGGCCGCATGAGCAATTTTGAAAGAACCTTTTCCTGCGTTCCAGAATTCAACTAAAAATCTATAGTTTACGTCACGTAAAATATGGTTTTTTGTTGATTTTTTTGGAACGCCGACCTAGAAAAAATGATCTTCGGCGCCATAATTATAACTTAAAGTTTGCCTTTGTACTCGTATCCGCGTGATATGGTCCCCTCCCCGCCAAGATTCTCTCGCCCCGCACCCCGCGCAAGCACCATGATCTCGAACCGGCCTTGCTATACTACTATCTTGAAATGAAAAATATATTCTGTGTGTGTATATTAATGCATATTACTTGATACTGTAAAATTAACATTATTGTTCTCAGATCCATGATATTTTATAATGTTCTTACAAGGGAACCTCGCGAACTCGAAAATTCTGATTTTAATGAAACTTTCCACACATGTAGGGGGAGTAAAAAAATAAATTTAGAAATTTTTTGTAGCGGCCCAAAAACGGTTTTAAGAGGTGTGAAACCACTCCTTATATTTAGAGCGGTTTTTACTTTTTTCAATATATCTCGAAAAATATTTGATATCAAAAAATGTTTTAAATAAAAGTTTTATAGTAAAATCTCCTCTATTCAACAACATTAAATATAATATTTTTTTAAAATAATTTTATAAATAAAAATTTTTTCCTAAAATTTTATTAATGTGGTTAAATAGCGATGTCTTTACCATAAAACTTTTATTTGAAACATTTTTTGATATCTCAAATACTTTTCGAAATACATCAAGAAAAGCAAAAATCCGCTCTACATATGAGTGGTGGTTTCACCCCTTAAAACCGTTTTTGGGCCGCTAAAAAAAATTTCTAAATTTATCTTTTTACTCCCCCTACACGTGTGGGAAGTTTCATTAAAATCAGAGTTTTTGAGTTCGCGAGGTTCCCATGTTAGTCGCATAATCTTAATATCAGGCTACTGTTGTATACAGCTGATATTTTGCACAGTTGGTTACTGATGAAATATGCACAAAACGTCTACACAGTTTAGCCAGAAAATATAAAGAATTATAAGTTTATTTTAAACTAGATTTTTCGCCCGCGCTTTGCGCAAGCTCAAAATCTATTCCCCTCTCCCCGAACTCACTTATTAATTAGGAGCACCAACAGAACCCCATAAAACCCAATTTTCAACCCCATAATAGCCATTTCCATAAAATTAGTAATCTTTTGATACCAATTTCATCAAAATCATCAACAAAAAATTAGAAAAATTTTGGCATTTTCAAGAAAACCGATCCATTAATACAAAATTATCCATTAATAAAAAATTAAACTTATCCTCCAAAAATTAAAACAAAATTTGGTACTGGTTTCAAGAAAATGGGTTAATTAATACTTATTATTTCTCGAAATTTGAATAATTTCCAATCTGGTTTCCAAAAAATCGGTAACAGAAAAATATCCATAAAAATTATTCATAAAAAAAATCAGCTTGATATCTCGAAGTTTGCGAAAATTGGAGCAATCACATACATTTTTTTTTAACAGAAATCGGAAACCTCTTTACTATTAGCAATTTTTCTAATTCTATTACATTCTTTAGGTCTTTCTACACCTATTTCATACACAATTTTTTAAAATTTGGTTAATTATTTCCCGAAAAATTGAAAAAATTTTGGATACCGGTTTTCAAAAAGATCGGTAACGAAAAATTATACATCTAAACATATTAGCATCAAAAACTCAAAACCAATCTTTTTTTTGGTTTCTTCTACCTCTATTTCATAAATAATTCATTAAAATATGGTTGATTAGACCCAACTTTATACGCAATAAAAGGTTCATATACGAAATTTATGAAAACAAAGCTTCCTCTATGAGGAACCGGTTCCCAGAAAATCGGTAACAAAAAACTATACATATCATGGCACTCCTCGGAAAATTCTACTTCTATTTCATACTTTTTTGGTAAAAATTCGGTCCACTAACAAATGAGAAGTTTGCGGTCAGACAGACAGACAGAAGACGAACTGGTTTCCAGTAGCAATTAAACCCATCTTCAAAAAATTAATAAAATTTTTGAACTGAAATATTGGAAAAATTTCTGAACCGGTTTCTAAAAAAATCGGTAACAAAAAATTATACACTTTATAGCATTTCCCGAGAAATTCTACCCTTACTTCATATATAATTCTTTAAGATTCGGTCAATTAATTCCCAAAAAATTGAAAAAATTTTGGTACCGGCTTCCAAAAAGATCGGTAACGGAAAATTATAGTACTCCCCGGAAAATTCTATCCCTGTTTGATCTATAAATTTTTAAGATTCGGTCAATTTCCCGAAAAATTGTAAAAATTTCTGATATCGGTTTCCAGAAAATCGGTAACAAAAAACTATACACTTTATGGCATTTCCCGGGAATTTCTACCCCTACTTCATACACAATTTTTTGAGATTCGGTCAATTATTTCCCGAAAAATTGAAAAAATTGAAAAAACCGGTTTCCAGAAAATCGGCAACGAAAAACTATACACTTTATGGCACTCCCCGGGAAATTCTACCCCTATTTCATATACTTTTGGTAAAAATTCAGTCCACTAACGAATGAGTAGTTCGCGGTCAGACAGACAGACAGACAGACGTCCGGTACTTATAGTTAAAGAAATTTAAAAAATTGGTTTCCAGAAAATCGGTAACAAATAACTATACACTTTATGGCATATTTTAAATAAACGTTTTACACACACAGAACGTTAAAGACAGACAGATGAGATGTTACAAACAAATGACAATTACGAACATAGTTCACGGTTCTATTTTATATACCCAGAATGCGATAAATAAACTTTTGATAGTTAATCGCGGAAAGACGCTAAATACAAGTTTTCTAACATTCCCTCTTGACGATCCGCGCATTAACTTTAATAAATAATAATTAAATCTTGATTCCGATTGCTGTAGAAAGCTTGTTGAACTGAACTTGTGGTAATGGTTTCGTTAGAATATCTGCCATCATCTATTCCGAAGGACAATAACGAACGTCGATTATACCTTTCTCACGAAGATGTCGAAGCTGATGATGATAAACATCAATATGTTTAGTTCGAGCGTTAAATTTGTCGGACTGAATTAATTTTATACATCCCTGATTATCCTCAAATACTGGAATAGCACCTTCAGGAAGTACGTTCATATCAATGAGTAGCTGACGTAACCATTGAAGTTCCTTGACTGCATGAGAAGCGGCCACGTACTCTGCTTCGGTTGACGACATCGATATCGAGGTTTGCTTATGACTGCTCCAGGCAATAGCACTTGATCCAAGTTTAAAAGTATATCCGGATGTTGATTTTCGATCTTGTTTATCACCGGCCCAATCAGCATCCACAAAACAGCAAAGAATATCATCACTGGTTGAAGATAGATGAAGTTTGTAATTCTTAGTGCCGGCGAGATATCGAATTATTCTTTTGACTGCATTCCAGTCCATTTGAGTTGGAGTCTCTACTCTTCTAGCTAGAAAACCGACAGCAGCAGCCACATCAAGTCGTGAAATAGTAGCTAAATACAGAAGAGATCCAATTGCTTGTTGATATTGATGATTGTTCGACAATAATGGACTATTCTCAGTATCTCCGGCTAAAAAACCCGTTTCCATCGGAGTTCTAGCCGGTTTTGCTTCATTCAGTTGATAAAGTTGAAGTAATTGTTCAATCTTGGCTTCTTGACTTAATAAGATATCTCCATTTTTGTTATGTTCCATCTTGATGCCAAGATAATATGATACCTTGCCTAGATCACGAATTTCGAAATGACTACTTAATCTCTTGCTTATTTCTCTAGTAATGTTAGCAGTCTTTCCAGCTATTAACAGATCATCAACGTAGAGAAGAATATAAGTAATCAATTTATCTTTCTCTACACGTGTATATAAACATGCATCCGCTGTACTACGCTGAAAATTAAGCTTTGTTAATACATCTGTTGCTCGACGATTCCAAGCAAGTGCGGATTGTTTAAGACCGTATAAACTTTTTCGAAGTTTACACACTTTATTTTCCTGACCCTTTTGATCCTGACCCTTAAATCCTGGTGGTTGTTCCATGAAGATTTCTTCTTCTAAAAACGCCGTTGAGATAGGCGCTTTGTACATCGAGTTGTTGAATATACATCTTTTTGGCAGCGGTAGCTAATAAAACTCGAACTGTATATCATACCTGACAACAGGTGCATAGGTTTCGTCATAATCCTCGCCAAACTTTTGTGAGAAATCTCGTGCGACTAAACGAACTTTGTAAGTATGAGGGCGGCCATTTGCATCGAGTTTCGTTTTGAACACCCATCGACACGAGACGGTTTTTCGCTTAGGTGGAAGATCAACAAGATCCCAAACTCGATATTTGTTGAGCAGCTTTATCTCTCGTTCTGCAGCTTTCGTCTAAAGCTCCCTCTGGCAGTGTGGTAAATGCTGAACCTCTTTCCAATTACTAGGCTCAGCATTAACAGCTGACACCAATCTTGCTGATCCATATCGTTTGGGTGGTCGTTCAGCTGTAGTCCGTTTAGAACGTCGCAATTCTTGTGTTGAAGAGGAAGAAGATGCCTCATCTTGAATCTTCTCAGGAACATTTTCAATCTTCTTCTCAATAACAGGGACATTTCGAACAGAAACGTCTTCTTCAGGAACATGATTATCTTCTTCAGGATCATCTTCTTCATGATTGTCTTCTTCATCATCTTCTTCAGGAACATGATTATCTTCTCTTCCGGATTCAACGCTATTATATTTTTCATCGCTATCATCATCATTATCGTCGCCTGAATTTAATAATGGTTGAGTAGGAATTGTAGTTCTCGATGGTCCATCATCATCGTCATTATCCATATCAGGATGCCAACCACCTCCCTCTGTTTTTGACTTACTTCGAGATTTGTGACTATAATCTTTGTTGTTCATACCAGGATGCCAATCTCCTTCTGGTTCTTCGATCGATTTCTTCTGTTTAGTAGAATTCTCAACAATTCTAACAGTATGACTATACCATACTTTATTAGTCTTTGGGTTTAAAATTTGATATCCTTTTACATCGTCTCCATATCCGACCAAGATTCTGTCCACAGTCTTGTTATCCAATTTTCGACGATGTTCTCGTGGCACAAGACTAAATACCTTGGCTCCGAAGACTCGAAAATGACTGACATCAGGCTTCTTTCCTTTAAAAAGTTCAAACGGAGCCTTATCAATGCATGCTGTTGGCAATCTATTCTGAAGATAAGTAGCCCACAAAACAGCTTCGCTCCAGAATCTCTTGGCCATCTTTGCGTCGATCAACATACAACGAACCATTTCCACCAAACTTCGGTTCTTGCGTTCCGCAACACCATTTTGCTGTGGAGTATAAGCAACTGTGAATTGATGTTTAATGCCACGTTCTCTTAGAAAATCTCGAAGTTCTCTGTTGACATATTCACGTCCATTATCTGTGCGAATGACATTAATTTCACGTTCAAAATATGTCTTCATGCAGTTGACATAATCCTTAACAGCTCTAGTGACTTCATTCTTTTGTTTTAAAAGTTTAACTACTGTATAGCGTGAATAGTCATCAATGAACGTCAAAATATATCGATTACCTCCTGCAGATGTTACCGGAAAAGAACCACAGAGGTCACTATGTATTAATTCAAGCGGCTTTTCTGTAGTGCTTTGACTGTTTGGAAATGATTTAGTAATTAATTTTCCTTGAATACAACACTCACAGATTCCATTGAGATTATCGTCTGCTCGAAATTCCAAACCAGTGACAAGTTTTCTGCGAACTAACTTCCGAATTGCAACAGGATCTCGATGACCGAAACGACGATGCCATCGATGTAACGAACAGGAAATCTTCGAAACATGTGCAATCTCTTGTTTGGATAAAGCTCGAAACTTGAATTCATCCAGATCGGCTTAAATCATTACTTGAGGTGGTCCGTCATCCCTCTTAGTAGCCACAGTAGCAACTGCATCTTCGAAATAAACTGCCAAATTGCTCTTCAATGCTCGCAAAACCGATAAAAAATTCTCCACCAAAGTAGGTACATAAAGTACGTCATTTAGCTGTAGTCGTTTAATTTCTCCAGATTTTAAACGATGACTGATAATAATACCAGAACCAATTCCGGCAATCTTCGCACAATGTCCGTCAGCATTAGACATAGTACCTTTTAACTTCTGGAAAAAAGAAAAGAAGTTACGATCATTCGTCATATGTTTCGTCGCTCCTGAATCCAAACACCATGCATCTGAGTCAATCTTGAGTTTCTTAGTGTGAGTTCGAAGTGATTTCTCGTTGTGAACTACTGCATGAAAAGCTGAATCCGCCTTGTCTTTGTCCTTGTCTTTCTTCGGGGCTCGACATTTTGCTGCTAAATGTCCTCGTTTACCACAATTATAACAAGTGCGCGTCTCCTGGTTACAATTATTATTATTATTATTATATGTTTTTCGATTATTTGACTTACTGATTGCCCCTCGATTAGACTTATTGGCCACAGCAGCTACTTCCATTATATCTGTACTTGAAGCTTCCTTTCAATCCTGACGTCGCTCATACTCGGACTTAAGCTTCTGAATTACGTAATCAAGTGTCAAAATTTCAAGTGGACTTGATTCTAAACCTGAAATAAAAGTTTTCCAGGAATCCGGCATTGCTCCGATAATGTGACAGACGAACTCTTCATCTCGTACTTCTCCCCCGGCGCGTTGAATTCGAAAAATTAGATCTTGCATCTGATCTATGTACTCGGCCATGGTTCCGGATGTCCATTGATGAATAAAACAGTTTTCACTTTTTCAATCGATATACTGAGTTATTTATATTTAACAATGTTTTTTGTCTTTACCGAAAGACATCATAAAAAAGATAATAAAAAGATATCTTCTTTTATATCATTTTTTCCGATAAGATCAAAAGATGTTTTATAACATATCTTTTGATGTTATTGAAAAAGACATCACAAAAAAGATATCTTTTCGTCAACTTTTTTATGTATTTTTCAATAACATTGTTATGCCGCGTCGCCGGTTGGTGACGGCTTACGGCAAAACACTTATTATTTTTAGGATCTCTTGACCTTACGAGTTGGAACTCGGTAGGCACAGGCGGGCAGACTAGGAAGAGTTCGGGTTCGTAAATGAAACGGGGTGTAGACGTCGTTAAATTAACTTCACTTCGTTTTACCTTACGTTGGAGCTTTATTTCAGCGCCTCCTTACACTTAATAAATTACACTTGGCTTTGTCTTTTACATTTACTATTACTCGTCCGCACTTCGTTATAATGTATACCTTCGCGTACGCGACACGACTTACGAGAACGGTCACGGGCAGAGTGTCGGGTGTAATACTCTCCGTCGCGGCTTCTTCGGCGGTCCCTTATGTTATTTTGACTTATGCCCTGTCAGCGCTATTCCGCCGGGTTCGATGGCCCTCCAAATGAGGTCGGTCAGTGACTGAGCGCATTCGCAATCTCGCTGTGATCCCGCGGTTCCGCGAGTGTCGAAATGCGTTGTCGCACATTCCTATGTATATCGCAATAGTTTGATTGACGCGGAAGCTTGATGGACTTCCACGTCCGCGTCGGCGTAAATTGAGAGGTCTTTCGAAAGACAATTTTCTCGAAGTCTTTCGAAAGACTATTCTATGATTTTATTATAATTAATTTAATAATTATCCGTTGTAATTTTAGATTACAACAACATTAAAAGGTGTTTTTCACATATCTTTTCGCTTTGTCGAAAAGATAACTTGATAAAGACTTCTTTTTCGTTATCTTTTAGTGTTATATGTGCTGTCTGGTTAATGTTTAAAGGGGTAGTACAATCTGGCGGAGGGAGTCAATTTCAGGATTTATTTGTGACAAAGTGGTAGGCCAATCAGGTTCATGGTGTATACGATATTGAAGTACATGTTTAGGTGCATTTACACTATTTTTTATATGGAAAAATATTAAGAAATGTAGGAGTTATGAGTCATCTCTTTGCACGCACGCTCGACTACGGTGTACCTAATAGCTTCTATATGGCGTGCCTGAAATGAAAAACGCAAAAGGTATTAAATTTAAATGTATTCCCCACAGGCTAACGTTCGAAAATTGTAAAAATGTTAAAAATTGTGAAAGTTATAGCACTTAACAAAAAAAAAAATTTATACACACACACACACACACACACACACACAATTTATCCTATTTCATATACAATTCTCTAAAATTCGGTTCATTAACGAATGAGTAGTTCACGGACAGACAGACAAACAGTCGGGTTTTATATAAGAGTATGACTAGATTTTGAGCGCATCGCGCGGGCTCAAAATCTATTCCCCTCTCCCCAAACTCACCCATTAATTAAGGCACCAATAGAACCCCATAAAAACCCCAATTTTTAACCCCGTAGTAGCCATCCCCACAAAATTAGTAATCTTTTGGTACCAGTTTTATCAAAATCATCAACAAAAGATTAGAAAAATTTTGGCATCGCTTTCAAGAAAATTGATCCATTAATAAAAAATTATCCATTAATGAAAAATTAAACTTATCCTCCAAAAATTAAATTCTATTATCCTATTCTTTAGTTCTTTCTACCCTTATCTATATATATAATTCTTTAAGATTCGGTCAATTAATTTCCGAAAAATTGGAAAAATTTTTAATATCGGTTTCCAAAAAGATCGGTAATGAAAAATTATATACTTTATAGTACTCCTCGAGAAATTAGAAAAAATTTTTTACCGGTTTGAAGAAAATCAAAATTTTTCAAACTTTTCGAGAAATAATAAGTATTAATAGACCAATTTTTTTTAAACCAGTGCCAAATTTTTTTTTAATTTTTGGAGGATAAATTTAATTTTTCATTAATAGATAAACTTGAAACCGGTTTTCAAAAAATTGGTAACAAAAAATTACCTATAAGTAACGAAAAATTATCTCTAAAAAAATTCAGCTTGATATCTCAACATTTGAGGAAATTGAAACAAACACGTACATTTTTTAAAACAAAAATCAGAAACCCCTTTTTTATTAGCAATTTTTCTAATTCTATTACATTTTTTAGTTCTTTCTACCTTTATTTCATATATAATTCTTTAAGATTCAGTCAATTAATTTCCGAAAAATTGGAAAAACTTTGTAACCGGTATCCAAAAAAATCGGTAACAAAAAATTATACACTTACTTCATATACAATTCTTTGAGAATCGGTCAA